TTTTCATAACATGGGTTGTTTTACATATGATGTTCTTTGTCATTTAAGAGAATAGGGTCTATTGACGTATTGTTGATTTCACTAAAGGCACCGGCGACAGCTGAATGAATTCGCTAGCAAACTTATTTTTCCAATTACTTACCCGCGTACTTACTAATCAGAGGCAATATCTACTCTGTTAGCATGCCGCACATAATAAATTCGCTCCAGATTTTACAATCAGTGAAATTGAGAAATTTAATCATCATTTCCTCACCTGTGCTAACAGCACATAGCTTATGACGTGTACGCATAAAGCAGGAGTGCTTCATCTTAACGAGGTGCTAACGTAAACTAACGCGGGCGATGCGAGAACAAGAGAGCAGTAATCATCATGGCCGCCATTGCGACTCTACGCGCGTCAAGTACCACTGGATGGGGTACTTATAAGTATAAATGTATAGCAAGTACGCGTAAATGTTTTTCCACCGAACATTACTCGTCTGGCACACAGTCAGCCAAATCCTCCACACATACAATTCCGTAGTGCCAAACGCTGCCAGCAAAGTGCCCCTGATCAGCGAAGGGGATAAACAATGACGAAGTCGTCAGCCCGGAATAACTGGGTGGGGAGGGGGAACGACTGTATCGGGGTGATTGTTTCACCGAGTGCTTACAAAGCTTTTCACACCCTCTTCACCGCTGAGACAATAGCGGGCAAGCAGTGTTCACCCGGGCACTAATATGCTCACAATCAGTTACAACTAATTGGTGACAAACTCGCTCAGCGCGATGCTTGCGTACACTGATACTGCAATTCAGTTTAATCAGCACTGCGCTCACGCCCCCCACCCCCCGCGCGTCGCTGGGGAGGAAGGGAAAGGGGAAAACTGCGCTTAGATGTTCACGCCATCACCATGGTTGCTAGCAGCGGGTGACAGCGGTTCGTAGCTCGCGCGTGAGTGATACAATATATACTGTTTCTCACTGCACGGTAACAAACAACGGCAGCGCCGAATCTGTTCTATCGTATTGCAATAATTACGTCTGGTCCATTTGGCACATTGTTGGCCTTATACTATAGATGGTCACGTTTATATTTTACATTGTGCTAAACGCGCAGGAATGAGGTGTAACCTACTCTCCGTGGGTATTTTCGTAGAGAAGCCCTATATGGTGTGTATCTGTCTGACCCACAGTGACGTATCTAACTGCCTGCGCGGTGCGCCGCGATATCTGTGGCCCGTTGTCAGAAACAAAATTAGTCTTAACACTGGTCTTTACATTGACTTTCTTCTTTTAGAGAATTATCGTAAAGTTACGAGAATGAAAAGTCATAATAGATTTCCTCATAACCTTACGAAACAAAATTCTATCAGCAGTATACGAGATCATCCTGATGTTAAGAGCGTCCTAATGATAAGTCCAGTCTGTTTCTGACGACGGGCCTTTGGCTTCTAATGATCTCGATCAATCACGCACGTGACCTAGCGTCACGCGTGACCTTGCTGACTTTAGAACATGACGTCATCTAGCTACACTTATCTTATCTTCCTTCCAGCACTTCGATCCTCTACAGAAATATGGCCCGGGGACATGAACGCGAGAAAGACGAGAAATGGCGACAGGAGCGAAATGCTATTAAGTAATGCCTACTTAGTAGCACTTCGCTCCTGTCCCAATTTTCCGTCTTTCTCGCGTTCATATACGCACACATGCGCCCAAACATTTCCATTTGAATAGACCCCATTTAGGTTTGCGATTTCAGTCGTATTTTTGATAAAGCGTGAAATAGATGATCGACAGATGTTCGAACGGCGTTTTTTTCATTAATGATCCCATCACGGCAACTTCTAGATACATCGAATGTAAAGGAAATGCGCCAGACTACGATTAATGTCTCATTTCCCAAATGTAAAAGTTCGGTGTGATTTTCCTTCAGCGAATTGATGCAGTGTTGTTTTCCTCTCGCAATGAAATCTCGCGCCTGTGCATGCTCGGACGGGTTCGAGGATTATGACTCACTCCTGTCATACCCTGAATCTCGCACACCTTCTTATAGCAATAAGCATCTTCTAATTCTTGATAGCGTAGCGTTGGAAGCGTAAGCCTCGCCTTGTTCTCTAAGCTAGCATGGTATCTCCGGGCGGTACAAGCTCTACCCTTTGTACTGTCTATATGTGTTGTATGATATGGATGTTTTTGCCTCGAGCCCCTTCCGCTCGTACACGCAGTGCTAACAAAGGTTTGACGTCAGAAGTTGGTAGATATTTTACTTCCATGTGAAGGATGGATTTTTGGCTTGTGACGGCGGAACGCGTGGAAGATGCTACCGGATTATTATACCTACCCATCACCTCTCCCATGCACGCACAAAACCGGCAAAAAAATATACCGATCGTGGAACGTGTGGGCGGAAATGAAAACAACTCGACGCCATGCGATTAATGAACTTCGCTGGCGTGTAAATAGCCCTGCAAATCAGCTTATATTCTATATTATTCTCGCTGTAACACGAATCTGAATCAACAGTTCACGCTCTATATATCCATCCACACACTAATTACGACGTAACCGCGATCGTCGTACGAGAGAAAAACACTCATCCGCGTGACTCCCCCCCCCCCGCAACAGTTTCATAAAGCGGTGGACACACCATGCGAACTTATTCGCACGACCGCAGTGGATTTTAAAGCCGCCGCGGAATTCGCATGGTGTGTCCGCTCAAGCGCGGGCGAATTTTATCCGCACCGAAATTCGCAGCGATCAAACATGTTTGATATTTTCGCTGCGGATTTTTACCGCTGCGTACAGACAGTACATACAGTACAGACACACAGTAGATCGCGTGTAGTGTGTCCGCTGCATGCGGTCGTGCGAATAAATTCGCATGGTGTGTCCGCTTAATTATCGCATGCGGGTGCGAATATTTTCGCAGCGAATTTCGCTGCGGAGATGATCGCAGCGAAATTCGCATAGTGTGTCCCCCGCGTCACCGAGCACTCGTTCCTGCAACGATCCTCTACAAAAACCCTCTACGCCAAACTAGTTTCGCTGAGATTTAACCCGCGCGAGAATTTCTGATATGATTAGCAGCAATCAAAGGATGAGTGACGCTTGTTGTCGCTGCGCGGCTTTGTCAGCTGCGCTAATACCATCATGGGTACCGCCCACCAGGGGGATCGCCGACGCGGTGGGGCCGCCACTTGTTTCTAGCAGCGTTCACTAGTTTAATGTCCCGTGGGAGACACGCGCGCGGCGATCGCTCGCAGGGTTTATGAAGGCGAGCAGCGGTGAGAATGCATAACATTATACTCGTATCGTGTATATTCGCCGCCACGTCAGCGACCTTGCAGTGATTGCTTGCCGCCCCCCCCCCTCCCCTCTGTATCCTTCCCAACGTTCCCTCGACGCCACTTCACTCTCCCTGCACTTCCACCGGGCGACATTGTCAGCGCATATAATCTTACTCAACGCGCGGAGGTGCCCTGTATATGTATGTATCACCGCCTACCGGCCGACAGACACGTCTTTGTTGTGGACGGCGAGGGTAGCGGAGGCCCGGCTGATGTTCCCCCCGCAAACATTGTTGGGCAGGTCTATTGTCGCTAAGCCGCGGCTGATTGTTTCCGTCACGATCCGCGTTGTGCGAACTGCCGCTTGAGTAGGGCTCGCCCGCTCAGCCCGCTGGCAGGTGTGGCTGCGTTTGGCCCCAATTGGTCTCTGGAGGGTCGCAAGTGTGAGCTGGTCGCGAGACCGCCTCCGGGAAGAATTAACAAGGGCACGCGTGCTGACGGGAAATCACTCTCTCGGTGGGCAACTAACGGCAGTATCGACTACCATCGTATAAGTGGAATTTCATTGTATTTTGATATTTGCTGTTTGGTATTGCTTGGCTAGGAGATGACCGCTTTGGGGGTAGTTAATGCACACCTGGAAGGTTTATAGCGTGTGAGGTGACGGCGGCAGTACTGGCATGCTTTAGCCGCGGTTAGATCCCGACAGTTGCTGCAGGTTTGTTTGGTGGAGAAAGTTGAGGGGGGTGTGGGAGATTGAATGTTGAAATGACTATACATACGGCGCTTGCTTTATAACGGTACTGGAGGTACTATCTTGATCGCTGACAAAATATGTGCTTTGGTATAAGCGAGATATAGCAAGAGAGAGAGGGAGCGTGCGAGAAAGGTGGAAAAAGAGAGAGAGAGAGAGAGAGAGCGGGAAAGGTTGAAAGAGAGAGAGAGAGAGAGAGAGATAGAAGGAGAGAAAAGAAGGACAGAGAGCCCGAACGAGAAGGGAGGAAAGACAGAATGGGTACAAATGAGAGGGAAAGGGCGCGTGCAAGCGAGCGAAAGAGAAAGGGAGAGGAGAAACCAACCATGACTTCTAAAAAATTGCTGTGATAAACGTGCTTGGATATTTTCTCATTTATAACTTATAAAGTATTTAATTATTCGCGTCGATGAGATATCATAAATGTCCTCAAATTACAGCATGAACATCAAATAAGCTACGTGTCTTCAATCTTCAGGGCGCGTGTGGACGAGTAACGGACCATCTAATGGTGACGATGTTTAATTCTCACGACCATGACAAGCTCGGCCTTACCGCCACGTCACTCCATTAAATACACGCACACGTGCGCACGTAAGCACGTACTCGCGTGTACGCACATGCGCATACACACGCACGCATGCGCTTATAGGCACACGCGCGTACACGCACATGCACACGTGCACAAATACACGCACACGTGCGCACGTAAGCACGTACTCGCGTGTACGCACATGCGCATACACACGCACGCGTGCGCTTATAGGCACGCGCGCGTACATGCACACGTAGATCCTCACACACAGACACGTATTCACATTCACACACGCACACACATGCATTCACGCACACACATGCATTCACGCACACACACGCATTCACGCACACAAATGCATTCACGCACACACGTAAGCTCGCATGCATAAGCACGCACGCAAGCGCGTACGCACACACGCACGCACACTCACGTGCACACGTGTGTACAAGGCAATAACGCCCTGCTGCGACAATCGGCGTCCCCGGACCGTGTCGGCGTGACGTCACGGCGCGTAATCGCTCGGGGTGGTCCTCACGCGCGCGTGACATGAATTCACGCGGTGACAAACCTTGGCGCTCGTGTCGCGCCTTTGTCGCATTTTACCGATCACCGACACCGATTGTCATCCTCTAACAGCAGCTGACGGGGTTGACTGTCCCACTGTCACTCAGCCCTGTCACTAATAGGTGACGCGTTGACACTGATAGGTGACGCACGTCGTGGTGACATCGTTGCAGCCGGACGGAAGTTTAAGCTGCCGACTCACGTCATTCACTTACGGCACGCTAATCTGAAACGCAAACATATCTTCTCGTTATTAAATCTCGCTTCAGCAACAATGGGACGCCGCGTCCATGATTTGAATATTTTCTCCCCGAAGAACTCTCACCCCGCGTTTTCACACACACACGCACACACACACACACACACACACACACACACACACACACACACACACACACACACACACACACACACACACACACACACACACACACACACACACACACACACACACACACACACACACACACACACACACACACACACACAC